CACCAATTATACAGGCATGAACAAGTATTATTTATATTACATAAATTTGATTTATGTTGAATTTACATGGTTGCCGTTCACTTTGTCTTCAGTTTGTGGGAACAGTCTGCTAACCAGTCATTTAATGGAGCACATTTAGAAACAAAGAAATATTGTCTTCGCATTAACGAAAAAACCCAAGTATGTGTCAGATGAATTAAGAATACTTGGGAAAAATAAAAATTGAAGTCGTTTCCCCATACAACTTTGGTGTGTATGGCGCTAAATCTTGATTTATATCCAACTTGGGTATTAATTTAGAATAAGTAATATATTTGTATAATTTTGCCAGCAGTTTCACCGTAACACCAGAATTGAACTGCACTCCATTAACACTGATATCGTCTATAGACAGACAGACTTGTTTTAGTGCACCGAGCTCAGCCGATATCACCATTTGTAGCTGCATGGTTGTTCCTTACGAGTAAGTTGGTTAACATGTGGAAAAGTGGCTGTAAACCATTTTATGTCATGGATACTGCTTGTATAGGATGTTACACAGCGTTCTGATTTAGTGAAAGGGGATTTCTCAAGAATGTTGAGTTGTTACGAGCCAGAGCTTAAAGGGTCCTGTTCAACTTGACTCTTACCGTGGATTTGTGAAACTTCCACTGGAGGGCAAAAAGTAGAGAGCAGGCGAGCAGCGAAATGCCAGATAGAAAAGACACAGTACGTGGAAACGAACAGGACCTTAATGTTTGCATATATATACTTATATTAGCTTTACATTTCCGTTTAGTAAACATATGTATATTTATTTCTACCTAGTCTTTTTATGCACCTATGTGACCAATCGGTTTATCGTTTATAGAGTAATTAGGGAAGTTTTTCGCGTTATTTAGGCACTGTAGTTCTAGGAATAAATAATTTATCAATGTAATCAGTAGAGTGAAACAGTCTGTACGGAGAGCGTTTGAAACTTATAACTGGGGTGCAGGTTCTGGCTTCTAGAGACAGGCTGTTCCATACACTAGAATATATGACTGTGAAGTAGCTTCCACGGAGTGCTGATTTAAAGGCTTTTATTGTCACTGTGCAAATTGGTTACGCAGATTACAAAAGCCTTACGGTGAAAATTGTATGTCTTTATTGTTTGAAAACGATATTTTGTGTAGGACCTTAAAGAAGAATACTGGGTTCATGATGTCTTGTCCAAAGTGTTTCTAGATATACAATCATGCACCGCGAGATGCAGTCGTTCTTACAATTGTGGCCAAGTAGTTTCGACGTGAAATATCGCTGGATAATTTCTATCCTTAGTTTGCCACGTATGCGGGCGCTGCTAATAAAAAGCGAACAGTATTCTAGTAGTGACCTTACACATGTTTTGTATAGAATGAGCTTGGCTTCGTTGTCGTTTGTGTGGCAGCTTTTGTTTCTAGTTCATTTGTTGGTTGCCACTATTGCTGCTGACTCAATTAGTTACTTAATATGTAGAAGTCTGGAGAAAACAATACATTTCACGCTCATATTTACAGAATGTAGCAATCTGCGAGTGAATCTGGTGAGGAGAGTGAGATCAAAGTTGATTTTATTTTTTAAGAGCATGTCAAACCTGTAGAAGCTAGGTTGGGGTTGAAAAAGCTTCGAAGCTTTTCAAGATGGTGAGTATACCGTCAGTGTGTCTATCATCAGTTAACAAACACCAGATGTATTGTGAGAGAATCTAAATCAAGGATGAGCCACATGTGAAGTATGAACATGTGGTGTTTGTATGTTTTTGTGGAAACGAAAGTAAATCGGGAGGCAATCAGGAGCCTCTAAAGGGTAAGTGTTACTTATGGCTATTGATGCTTAACTTACTAGATCCAAATACATGAACTAGGACAGTCTGTAGTAAAGCAAATGTTACCAGCCATTCAATATGTTGCAAAGCGACTCAAAAGTGGACAGCATATAATGGCTTGATGAGTGTAAGAACAATTTAAAAAAAAGGTAATACATCAATTAGCAAGCAAAACAACTGGGACTGTGGTCTATAGTTGGTGGTGACAAGCTGATTATTACTCAGGGTGAAAACCTTAGCTGAATACAAACCGCTTGTTTCAGTTCAGATAATCAAATTCCTATTCTTTGGATGTTTGCGATTTCCCCGTGGCTATAAATACGGATGCACATGATTTTTAAGAAAACTTTAAATAAATTTCCCTTGGACCAGTGGTCTTCTTTTTCCCAGCAAAATTAGAAGTATATTAAACATTTCATCAATTTGCATTAGTGCAATTTGCATAGTGCCTGTAAAAATGGCATGCATTTTCATGTAAATTTATATGTTTATATGAGAATATACATTATTATTATTAAAATTCTGATGAAGGGTATTTTCGTTAGTATGACGGATTGAAATTTTAGTTGATTTCGTAAATAAATAAAATGTACTTTTGTTCCTACCATCTACAAGCCCGTTCAGGTTCTTGTCAAGATGCTACCCAAAGGGCCCTACAGAAATTCGTGAGACATATTACAGGTCAGCTTGTCCTACGGTTTCTAATTTTCCAGCTCTTTGAATTCATTCCTCACTCAAATATCACTTACCTACCTCACAATAATCTTATTTACGCACCGTTATACTCTACTTTATGTTAACTACCTAGGCCATTATTAAAGCTAAAACTTGCTCCTTGTTCATATTTGCAGCTCGCCCAAAGTCTTGCTGCTTTGATTAAAAACACAACAACACCAGTGTTTGAACAAAGCTATATATTCATCGAAAACAGTTTCCATGCTTAGACCAATATGCAAATGCACACCATCATTTCAAGTACTATATAGCTTCTTCTTCCATTATTTATATTGTAAATATACTTTCAATAATGTGTTATTCGTAATTGCAATTTATACCATTTTGCAGCTGCGCAGAATTTTCTTCTCTTCCTGAAACAGCGTTCAATCACGTGTTGGCATAGCACTTGCCCAGATATACGCTGTTCACTGGTTGACCATAACTATCAGAAGGAAACGGAACGAAGTTTGGGTTGCCGCTCAATTTTGATGGTGAGATTAGTAAACGGTTTACAATTTAACGTTTACAGCATTCTGACTGCTTGTACAATAATTGAACAATTTAAACTTTTGAGAAAGCATGAATTTATAATACTTCAGGATTGTAATTTATAACATTACTGATCGTGCCTGTAAGAATGGCATGCATTTCTTGTAAACTTACCCGTTTATATGAAATATAAATTGTTATTATTCGACAACCTCCATACACCTAGAACAACATGAAGTTGCAAAAGCTAATTTTACATATAATTATGCAAGGTGGATACATTGATTCTATCAATATTAGGTAAAGTTCCCATGCAAATAAAAGCATTTGTAGTCCACAGCTGGTTTTATATTAGTGCCGTATGCATGAATAGGCCTCACATGCTTTCCAGTATTACAGGACTTTACGCAAATTTCAAGACAAACTCTGAAACATCCATACTGTTGAGGCGTCATTCTCTCATCAGGATTATTTGTAGATCAACTTCACACTAAATACGTTTACGTTAAAGGAAGTGTTACAAATCCACTACCTCAGTAATGTCAAGTGAACATGTTTCTGTGAATCCTACAGAAGCTGTTTTCTCATATTTAGGAAACCATAGCCATTCTGTATAAACTGAACGTGCCTTAACCCTAAACATCTATGCACAGTGTTAACAGCATAGACAAACACTTAAAATATTGTAAGATACACAAACCTGTTGTGTTGATGAGGATAACAATGCTATATAATGCAATCTAGACATTTAATCGTGATTCTGTATTTGTACTGCTTCATATAAATGGAAACCTCAGGAGAAATTCATCTTCACTATTGGCGATCAAAACTATCGCAGTGTCAGTGGGGATGGTATAACTGAGAGTGAATTGGTAGTCTTAGAGCTGAATAGATTCAGTTTTCACAAACAAAAAAATTCATGTGTATAATAATACTATGCTCTGAATTAATGCACTAAGTGAGACAGTGAGAAAATTAAACAAGTAGTTGCCTTCTACGCTGCATTGCACTTGCACCCATCATGACGATCACATACATTTTTTAGCCTAGCAGTTAGCTAAGCGGACAGTCACAAAGTATTAAGAGAGCAGATATTTTTTATACGTTGAATCTGCAAAACCCATACTACACTGCTACATTCAGTGCATATATGTATTAAATCCACTTAGAGATAACATTTCAACCTACAACAATTGTTTAAACAGAAGTTGATGTTAGCATTTATAGGTGATTTCCATGTACTGCTAGCATTTGCTTGCCAAACACTTCTGTTCTTCACACGTAAATAGGCTCCATCGATCTCCTCCGACGTGAAGTCTTGATTAAATTATGCTATGCCGAAAGGTGCACCTTCTACATGAAGTAGACTGTTTGTGAAGATGATATTACCCTCCAGCTATCCATTCTTGCTCATCATAGCGATATTTTGATGCAGTCCGCCAGAAACACTTATCAGTACAACCAATATGATAAGTGTGTTGCAGCAAAGTAACGTGACGCGGACACCACCATGACTAGTCAGAAAATGAGAATTCCCATCAATCCAAAACCATATAACACAATTTTATTAAAACCTATTGACAAAACATTTCCAAGCGAAATTTCAACCAAACTCGACATATAAGTCCAGCTCTAATATTCAGTAAGTCTACTTGAGATTAGTTTCTGTAAATGTGTAATATAGATGCATGAGTTAGTTTATCAAGCCTTCAGTTATAGTTATTATACGGACAGTACGGTTTCCCCACTGGTATTTGATTTGAACGTAGTATAACACTCAGAGTGACACTGAAGAACTCTAGCTAAAATGTAAACTATTCAGAGGTTACAATCAATGAAGATATGTATTATTTTACAAATTTTAAAATTTAGAAAGTCTTCGGGCTCCAGCCAAAATTCTAATCTGATCCTGATACTATTGTACATCTAAGTTGCGTTACATCATAGCGCCTGGTGCGACTAAAAAATTATGGCGGGAGGTGAGCAATATTCCGATTTCACTGATTTTTACTGTGTAAAACCACTATTGACTTTTTCTCATAACAGTTATTGATAAAAAAAGTTGCGTATTATTTTCTAGATGATTGACATGTGAATTAATGAACATCACAGGGGTGTTGTTTTCTGGATACTGTTATCAGAGGGTTACTTCAAACATGTTTGAAGGAAGTTAAATAGTGATAATATTCCATGCATGAAAACTAGAAAGCATGCACTTTACAATTCGTATGGAAATAATATTTTGCTATTGCTCATTGCTTAGCACACAAGACAAGTCTGGTGATCTCTGTAAAACCGCCTAACATTGGTCTGTAAATGTCTTGCGAGTGTCGAGAAATTCTCTGATTAGTCTTTGGGTATATTACTGTGAGCTACAAAGAAAAATTAGCAGAGGTGTATTTGTATGTGCGTCTACCGGGGAAAGTCTGGGGATATACGGTAGCTTATTGTTATTGTTATCCATCAGGACACCTCTGTAAATTGCACTTACGTGCATACCATTTGATGGTGTTTAAAAAAACGAGAAACGCTGTGATATAGTTTTATAAACGAGTAATCTCACTGCAAAAATGAGAGATTAAATCCTAATGGAAAAGCTTGCAGAAGATATGCATACAGGAGACCGAAGAAAGATTGATCCACCTCTTGTAACATATGCTTAGACTCCTACTTTAGGTTGGTCGGAGTACACTAGTGGCTACCAAATGGTAACCAGTACATATTATCGGATATAAAGTCAGGCTTTTGTTTAATGGTTATCTCATAGTGGTGATATTAATCCTAAAGATTTAGTACTGTGTTCTCTCTGCCTTGAAAGCTAGATTAAACGCAGTTGATATGACACTTAATGATAAAGACGCCCACGAAATACCGACACGGTTTTTGGGATACCTTAAGCGAATATTTCCTTACATTTAGCGAGTCTCTCATCCTTGTCAATCATAAGGTAATGCCGCAGGACAGATCTTCACTTTAAGAGCGGAGTGAAGCGTGTTGAGTATGTTGATGACCTGAGCCATTTAAGAAGTTGCATAAGGTGGGGAAGGTCATTGAAATTGCCCATCAGAATTTGTGAGTTTTTAACATGTTTTCGTTCAGTTTCTGCATCAGGTTGTGTAACACATATATTGTACGTTCAGTCAAGTTAGGTTGGTAAATGTCATTGGTTATAAGGTGTGGTTTAGTAATGAAGCTATGAAGCACGTTATCCTCAGGATGTAAAGTATCAAATTGTTTCAGACCTCCCTACGTGGCTGGAATCAACATTCAAAAACACCATAGATCGATGCCATGTTTTATTCTTACCACCTTTTAGTCTTTTCAATCCTCATCTCACTTCAGCTAATATTACTCATCACTTCACTTAGTGTAGCTGCATATATTCGTGGATGAGTGTGCCCTCGTTCCTGGTCTAAGTCTCGCCTGGTTTTCGTGGGTTTTTTATTTTCGAGGGCCGCTTAGTCCTAGGAGGATTACGGGACCTAGGTTCTGCTGAGTGGCCGGTGTATCAAGCCAGTGTTTGCACAAAAGTGCATCAGTCCAACTTGCCGTACTTACCGAAGGAAAGCAAGACAATACTCCGATGTTTGAACATTAGTGTAATAGAGAGAATATTTGTATGAAGAAAAGTAACACGATTTAGGTGATATGAGGTGAATGTGCGTATACTTCTCCGTCATCATCTGGAAGGTAGACGATCGGTACCTTCCTATGTGGCTTGAATTGAAAGTTAATTACTTCATAGACTGATGTCATTTTATTCTTTTTACACTTTTAAACTTAATTATACTAACATTACTCGTCGTCTCATTCAATGTAGCTGCGTAAAACTAGAACTAGCAATCCTTGAAAGAGAGTTATTGTTTTTGCTGATATTGTGCTCTTTAATGCGGTTAATTTTATCTAAGTAATAGTAAACTGTAACTTAAAAAATCTCAGTGTATATATGACTACTAAATCAAAGTACTTCTGCATGAAGTAATTTTGCACTGTCAACTGAGTACGTTGATAGTGATAACGGACATGTGTAAATTGTCGAGCCTTTTGATATCTGTATACACTAAAAAACGTGTTCATGTAAAGTAAATGCTTGTCGCATGTGTGTTGACGATGTCAATTTGCAGAAGTGTTGGGTTCAGGTAGAATTCCGTCTGAATCGCTCATTTTATTCAGGAAGCGCGGGTTCCATTGTATGAGATGCCACTGCCGTTAGACGGTCTCTATGACTTTTAAAACTAAGTAGCGATACGTCAGCATAAATATGTAATGGTATTGGGCATCATATACACAATACCCAGAGTTTTTTCAAACCATGATATGTAGCCTACTCACTTTATATCTGTTCTGCTATTTTGTGTGCCTTGTCAAAGCGTCAAAGTTGTACTTTGTTCAAATTACTCAGTCAGAAACTCTTACTGCATTTGCCTGAGTCAAGCAGAATGGTGTAGATTGCCTCTTAGGATGATAAAAATACAAAGCCACTGACTTGCTAATGACATATATATATATATATATATATATATATATATATATATATATATATATATATATATATAAATATATATATATATATAGTGCCGACAGAGCTCGACTGCCATTCATCTTAATTTAATAATTTGGCATTTCTGAGGTCTAGCACCATAAAGAGAGGTAAATGACAAAACGTAGCACAGCTAAATGCCTGACCCTGTTGTTTCAGCATATCGACGTTTAAGTTAAGAGGAACGGTAATAAGGATAGTGTCTACAGTTATAATGATGTATAAATTAGGAGAGGAAGAGAGTGGAACACATCTGTGTAGTATTTCACTTTATCTGGAAAAATACAACTGTAACTACGCTGTTGACATATTTTGAGTTTAAGGTACTTGTTCTTATTTAGTAGTGGGTTTGTCGAGGTATACGTTGTAATGGCAGAATAAGAAAACTCGGACCAGTAATGCATTGGTAATTCAAAGTATATTCCTCAATACCCTTATATGAATTAGTGTAAGGGATCTTGGTTTTCTTCTCGAAATGCGATCACTCCTTTATTATCCCCACCAAAAAAGTTTGCTTCATGGTCTTCATGTCACAAAAGTTAGAGATGAATATGAATGTCCGTCGGTAAATTCGTTAACAACGTGGCTTTGAAAAGTCGTAATTCCGAATTACTGGATCCCATTATCCAAAGGGGAACTGGTTTCAAACATTTGCAGCCATGAGTGTGCATCTGCTGACATCCTTTGGCTTCCTGACAAATCATGAATAAAGCTTCGAGAGTGGTTTCCTAAGAAAGCCATTTGCGTCGATTGACCTGTTTAGAATCCTGCTCTGTGTTTACTATTTTGGGTCACCAAATTTTTTTCTGAGAAGACTATTTTTTAAGAAACATCATGTATTGTCCAAGCTTGTGACTTACACCGTGTGCGACATCATGTGACCCGAATATTAAAGAGTATCGTTAGTGATGCGTGCTGCATTTAAAGCCTCATACATGGTCCCAATAAACTGTTTCGAATAATATCTCTATGTCAGCTTAAAAATCACTTTGGATGCGTGCATATTTGACGACTCTGGTATCAGCGCCCTACCTAGCTAGTGTTAATGCCCTCACTAAGCACCGGGATTGACGCTCTACAACCCGACATGGTAGGTGAATTTAATCAGAGAGGCAGTCGACAAGCAGAACATTGTCTTCTCGTCACTTCTGATAATCAGAATTACAGTACACAAAATTAATCCTAGTATCAGTCTGGTGATCTTAATCAGTTAAACACTGTCTGCCTCATAGTGCAACTGTGGACTTGAGTGTACAGGTCGAGTTTCTAGTTTTGATATAGTATCGTTTAGGCAGTGTAGTTGTATGGCATGTAATGGAATATCAGTTCGGCATATGTCATAATCTATCCCTTGTCTAAATTAAATTCCGGCACAAGTTATTACTAGGTAGCGTTTCCATTTCCTGTCCCATCTATTTAAATGTCTTGACAGTTTTGCATATGTACACAAGGCATGTAGTGAGTTACTGAGTTATAGGATATCGGATTTGCTATCGCATATTTATGAATGTAATGTTTATCTTCCTCTGGGTTATTAATTCCAGCGTCTGTCCATATTTCTGGGCCGGGTCCACCCAGTCATGCTTCTCCAACCAAACTGGCTCTCCCTAGCACCTCCCGCAACCAATTACGTGAGATTGAATGTCGTAAAGAGAAGAAAATCGGACATCGACGTGTCACAGAAGAGGGTACTGTTACGTATAAAAAGGTGAGCTATTTTAAAATCACTGTTGTTTCCTATCCTTAATATTTTATCATCAGCACTACAAAATGATTAATTTTTAAGTATAAGCAAAATGGAAGTGATTTTGGAGTTAGAAGGCTACAATTAAACTTCCAAAGTTAACGTGTGTTATGTGTTAAACGTAGTTTCCCTAATTTTAGTGAATACTAGCTTAGGTATTCATTATTACCTAATGGTTGTAACCTAATCAACATATCGCAATTATACTAATTAAAACAAGATTATTTTAGCCTCCGTATCTTTCCGGAGGTTTTCCTGCATTAACAACGTGTACGTGTAGAATGCAGACTTGAAATGCATAATTCACATTTACAGTGATTATTTGTTGGATGGTTATTAATTTGTTCAGTCCCAAAAATATTAACAGAAATCCAGTGATTGATTGGGGAGTGTTGTCGCCAGACTAAGTGATACAAAACTGTTGTCTAATTTTGTCTCGGTTTTAAATACTAAAAGTCAATTGATTAAAAGCCCTAGATGCAGTTTTTGTGCTTCTTAAAACTTATTATAGCGTACATACCTAATGTACAACCTTCAGAATTCTAACATTTCCTTTGTTATTCTAACCTACCTAACTTAGTAGAGAAGTTCGTAACTTCTCTACCGCCAGATTATTCAGCATAGTGGTTATACATACGCCTTATTGAGTGCCGAAAAGCATTAAACTTAGGATTAAGGCCTTGCGCCCATTAACACCTAATCTCTAATGTCATTGCATTTTAACTTTGTTCATTCACACTTATGAAAGCAATTCTTTTGATCTTAACAATACTGCTTTGGTAAATAAGTCAACTAAGTATTATTTTCATATTCATTACAGTCTTATAAAGCTAAATGAAGGTCAAACTTGTGACTATTTAGATATGATTTTCTATTTGCGATGTTAAAACTACCAATGGTATGGGTAATGGTTTTAAATTAAGAAAATATTGAAGGCAGTCATAGTGTCAGTGACAATAAGCAGCAGTAAAATTGAAGAGAGAGAGAGAGAGTAAAGGTGAAGGTAGTTTTATGTTATTGGAAGTTCTCGGGATGAGTGGTACATCCTTGCCTCCCTAACATCATGGAAGTTCTAATTCAGCAGCATATTAAATGAAAGAAATAAGTGGGATATAGTAGGTGCTTGATTAGTTAGTTGACGCTTTTCTTTTCTTATTGATTCTTTAAGTACCCACTATACTTAGCCGCCTATATCTCCATACAACCGATTGAATTTTTGATGCTTTTGTGTATGGAGGCAAGTTCTTTAAAGTAGAACAAAGGTCAGTAGAATTTACAGTAGGCAATTGTTAGTTTTTAAAAACATTATGATGCTGTAGTAACGTGTTTTCATTCTTAAAAGAAAATTTAGGGTTAGTTAAATTGTGATTGCTTTCTGCTGTAATTGTTTGTTGTTTATTGCACGGAATAAGCTAACGAACATACTTTGTTTTCATTATCATATGTCATCTGAACTGTTTTACTAATTTATATAATTGTATAGGCAATTCAACACATGGCTTTTATGTTTTAAGAAGTGAACCAAATTTTCAAATAATATTTCATTAATCTATCGGATTTTATTGTTAGAAACCAACATCAGAACTTCAAGGAGCTATTCAACTTGGTATACAACATCATATTGGCTCACTGCAACAAAAACCGGATCGAGATCTCTTGTATGGAGATTTTAATATTATCGATACAGTGAATTTTCCACATGAAGGTACTAAAACTACTCAAGCACATCCTTATTCCGATTTCCGATTTCGAATATATGCACCTGTGGCGTTTCGGTGTTTCCGGAAGTCTTATAAATTAGATATTCGTGATTTTCTGGTAAGTTGTTTTGGTGTTAACTTACTGCAGAAAACTAAACCGTTTACCTACGGAGCCTCATCACCTTTTCTTTAGAAATGAACTTTTCTGTTCACGTTTTGTTTCTACAGAATAATGGCGCAGACGGTTTACATTTTACTAGTAAACTGGATTTTCCAATTTTAGATAATTTGTGCTTCACGGTGTGAATTACTATAATGTCGAACATGGGAATTTACCAGTTCTACTTCGGATTTACTCATGACTGAAAAAAATTTCAGGCTTGATCCTTGAATAAGTTATTCTCATGATTACTTAGAATTTGTTGTAAGTTATGGAGGTGTATAGTTAGTGGATTACATCATTTGGGAATTCAGTCTGTCGAACCTTTCGGTAGATCTAGAGTACTTAGACGGTGTAGTTTTATTCGTTAAAGATGTTTATCGAATAAAGTCTCCAGTGGAAACTGAAAGTTGTTAGTATCTTCTTCACACAGTATAATTCGTGCAAGGTTTCATACGTACACGTCTGTCTGTTTAAAAATATCACCTAGTTATCTAACATATATCATAATATAAAGTTATGATTTTTATGATTAATTGTTTACTTCCATGATACATTGTTTATTGATGCTATCCATTCACATTTATCGTAGGGCTGATTTCGTAACTTAGTTTTTTTTGTTTCTACATTATTCGTCTAAGTTTTATGCATAAATTCAGTTTCACTTCCTAAAATGTTGTTTCGCGAATAACTTTTGTCAATCAAATTATTTAAGATATCCACTTTTTATGATGGTGAGTGGCTATAGCATTAATCGAAGTAAACCAAATTAGTACTCATAACATAAGAAGGCTCTTCCTTTTTAATCGCCTGTCGTGATGAATTCTTCGTAGTTTTGGGTGTTGGCGTGGGTCGGTAGGAGATTGTCGCTCCTTCTGGAACACGTGCGTAGATACCGACCATGCACTGGTCCGCGCTCGGGTGTGCTTACGACTGAACGGACGTAGGAAACAGCTGGCGGTAAAACCATCACGTCCCCAGCTCGATCAGGAAACTAAATCCGTATTTCAGGAAGAACTAGCTAAACACATATCTGTGTTCGACAGCTGTGCTCACCCTGAAGAAGCTTGGAAAAATATCCAGGCAGCCATAGATACAGCTGTAAAAGCTGTGAATAAGGTAAACCCAAAGGTGAGTAAAAACCACTGGATCTCCACCGCCTCATCCGAACTGATAGATGCTAGAAGACTTATTCCGGCGAGCTCCGAATTCAATGAGGAGCGAAAGCTGCACAAGAGGAAACTTACGAAAAGTCTCCGCAAGGACCGTGAACAGTGGTGGGCGACAAAAGCCAAAGAGATGGAGAAAGCTTGAGGATAGGCAACACCAGGCAACTCTTTGGACTCATCAGGGAAACGGGTGGGAGAAGACAAATCATTAGTGAGACAATCTCGGAAAAAAATGGCACTATAATTAGCTCACAGGATAGACGACTGGATCGTTGGAAAGAGCATTATGAGGAGCAGTTTAATTTGCCCACAGCCACGCTCAACCTTCCGAGCATCCAACACCTCCCTGAATGGGATATAGACACAGGTCCTCCGTCACTAACTGAGGTTACTAAAGCTGTCACCAATCTGAAACTAGGCAAAGCAGCGGGACCTGATGGAATGACGCCAGAGGTATTTAAGTACGGTGGAGACAGCTTACTGTCCGGATTAACTGAGGTACTAGGCAGCGTCTGGGAATCAGAAGAAGTCCCATCGGGTTGGTGTAAGTCACTGATTATCCCCATATACAAGAAGGGAGACAAGTCTTCCTGTGATAATCACAGAGGGATTAGCTTGACTAATATAGTATCTAAAGTCTTAGGCTCAATAATCATGCGTAGACTGAGTGGTGCTCGGGAAGCACAAACACGAGAGAGCCAGGCAGGCTTTAGACCAGGAAGAGGGTGTATTGATCATATCTTCACCCTCCGACAGATTCTAGAACATAGGCATTCCTACCGGCGTCCAACAGTCATTATATTTCTTGACCTAAAGGCAGCATTCGACTCTGTCGATCGGGAAGTTCTCTGGAGATGCTTGGCTGTAAAGGGAATTCCAAGAAAATATATTGCACTGATTAAGGCACTCTATTCGTACTCATACAGCCAGGTGAGGGCTTACGGCGAGCTGTCATCTGAACTGATGACGACCAGTGGTGTCCGTCAAGGATGCCCATTATCTCCTTTTCTATTCAACTTCATCATAGATGTGTTAATGGACTTAACCCTAGGTGACTTCAGCGACTCAGGGATTGACTTGCTACCGGGAATAATCTCGTTGACTTGGAATATGCAGACGATATAGTCCTTCTAGGCGAAGACGCTGACGAAATGCAGAGTCTTCTAAACACCTTGAGCCGCAATCTACGAATGTTTGGCATGCGATTCGCTCCCGCCAAATGCAAGATGATGTTACAGGACTGGACTACATCGACGCCTAGTTTAAAAATAGGAAGTGAAGTGGTAGAGCACGTTGACCGCTTCACTTATTTGGGAAGTACCATCAGCCCCAACGGGCTGATCTCTGACGAAATCTCAGCACGAATACAAGGGGCTCGTTTCGCATTTGTTAGTTTACGCCGACTCTGGCGTAGACGAGATGTTCGACTATCGACCAAAGGGCGGGTGTACTGCTCATCAGTCCGCTCCGTCCTCCTTTATGGTTGTGAGACCTGGCCACTGAGAGTGGAAGACATGAAAAGACTAGCTGTCTTTGATCATAGGTGCCTGCGTTCTATTTCCCGTGTAAAGTGGCATAATAAGGTGAGCAACATGGAGGTTAGGCGTAGAGTTCTAGGTAAACAGGGGAAATCAATCGACGAAGTCGTGAAGCTACAAAGACTGAGATGGTTAGGACATGTGTTACGTATGCCAAGCCATCGCCTCCCTCGACGAGCAATGTTAGCGGATATAGGGTCAGGCTGGAAAAAAGCTAGCGGCGGTCAAACAAAAACTTGGCATCAGTCAATGAAATCCACAACAGTTGGTCTAAGCCACGTAGGAAGGTGTAGACTTCCAGGCTGGGGTCCTCGGGACGGTAAAAATCTATGGTTGGAAACAATTGGTGACATGGCTCAAAATCGTTCTCAGTGGCGCAGATGCATCCACTCCCTGTGACTTATGATCTTCAATGAAACTGTTTTGTATTTCTTTATTACTCCTTTGTCTCACACCTCTGCTCACTGTTTCTATTATGCTTTTCTTGTACTTTCTTCTCTTGCTTCGCGTGCTACACGGAATGTGGCGACTTGAACTTCCGCACATTTGTGCAAAGTTCTATGTCGAAAACAGACAGACAGACGTAGTTTTGGGTGTTCGGAAATTTTCTTTTATTCTTTTTCGTCCCGAGGCTTCAAGCCGCAACTTTTGAAGTTTTCAGTAGCAAGTGGTGTTTATTTTTTACAGGGTGAGGTAGATAACCTCACTCTCAGGCTTGCCTGTGTACTGGGCTCAGTACCAGCTAAGCCACTTGGAAGTGCGTTGACCGGGGATTGAATCGCGAACCGCCTACGTGGTTAATAAAGAGTATTCTACCACTAAGCCGCCGAAAATATTAGAACTGTAGATTGGGACTTTATTCTCAACATAATCAGTGTTAATGCCCTAGGTTTAAGTTACACACTTAGTCATTTAGAAAGACGCAGTGTAAAAATATCTACTGAATGGCATTTTTTTATTCCTTCACGTTCCCAGTGGAACATAGGGCTTCAAGTTAGAAGTTCGAAGTTTCTGTAGCAGTGTTTATTTTTACAGGATGCCCAACCTTTTCCTTTTTGCCAGCTTTTATTTCTGGCTTAACGAGGTAAAGGAGTTCGTCGGCCGGGGATCGAACCCCGGACCATGAGCATGGTCGGCGAGCGTCTTAACCGCTATGTCCCCCCCGACGCATGCTGAATGGCATTGCTCAAACTTAATTATGAATTGGCTATTTTATAACAGTTTAGTGGCGAAAGAACTATCACGAATACTGTTAGGTTATTATTATTATGTTTAAGAACATTAGCCTACCTTCATTTATTACCTGTTACATCAATTAATAAAGTTTGTCAGTTCAAGACTATGCCAGCTTCAGTAAGAAGTGAAGTAGAATACTTCCATACGTATACAGTATATTACTCATTAAAAAAATGCGGATTTAATTTATGCCGTCGAAGAACATGAAGACTATGGCACCATCCAATTTTTGGATAACATCCTTTAACAGGGAGATAAGTAAAATTGAAAGATCCATATATCGTAAGCCAGCATGGAGACCATGGTCCCTACATCTTATTAGCTCCAATAATGTACAGAAGGAATCTAGTCTAGATACTGCTTGAAAAAGCAACAAAAATTTGCTCACAGATATAAGTTCCTAGGGAAACATACTGGTAAAGAATGACTATTCTAAAGGTTGATGGAAATGTGTTGCACGCCACTTCAGAATGTGTACATCATTGTAAATGTGTTCGTGAACACATGTATATTGGACATAAGGAAAGATACTTGTCAATTCGAGTTGTTGAGCATAGGTATACATGATGGGATCATAAGAAGTTCAATCGCTTATCATCTATACTTTGATAACACTATGATTGTGCATAAAGCTTTATAGTCATCAGTAAGCAAGATTAGAAGAAAGTGTTCAAGTTTTCCTAAATCTCGTTGCATTCGATTGAAACGAGGGAAGGGAGCTGTTGTCAGTTTAAAGCTCTGTTGGTGGTATCTTCCTCTTTATTTTCATGTTTCCTCCTCCTTTTCTTCTCGATGTTTCCATGATTATTATTATTGTCACTACTATAGCATCCTCTCTATTTCTATTCCAAGTTTCTGTGAGAAGTAATCCAGCCGACCCCCTTGCGTAACGAGTGTGAAGATAAATCTGCTGCAGTGTGTCGGTTTTAATGGTGTCGTTCAGGGTAACATTGTATCATGCTTTTACATTTGGGTCAACTGGTTTCACAAGACCTACGATTAATGGAGAATGGGT